CCTCTCTGCATGTCAGCGGAAAGCTGGCGGTCGAGGTGGGTGATGCAGTCGCGGTGACCCAGGTCTGCTCCTCCGCTAGAGAACTCTGCCAATATGCTGCAGAGCAGAAACCTAATCATGCATTGATGTAGGCTGCCCTTCCCCCGCTCCCAGCCCCCTTTAGTTGGCTGTGTTATTGCTCTGAGGAGCAGCAGTGATTTGCTCCACTGGGTTTGATATGTGACAGCCACTGCAGGCTGCCCGCGAACAAGCCCCATCACATACACCCCTGTGCCCACGTCAGGCCATGCCTGCCTGGACGAGCACGCTATCTCTGCCTTGCGGAGGAGAGACCCGGGGAAGGATTTCTTCCCAGCATTCGCCCCCCCCCAAGAAAATCCTAAGGTGTTGCTAGGGATTGTGAGCGAACACAACAGAGACTGTAATGGATAATTGGCTTGGTAGGAATCTGCAGTCGAAATGATTGACGGCATCGACTTGTGTGATGATTTGTGAGTGGACAGTGTCTGTCATAAGCATCTTGTGCATTTGAGCATGATTGCTATAATCTTTCTGGCCTTTTAACCTTTACAGAAATGTTGTTCTAGTGTGTCAGGGAAGTATAGGGTACCGCTTTGTAGTGCTTATAATGTTGCATAATGGCAAAAGTATGAAGTCAGATTAGTGTCAAATGAATCTGTATTGAATGACAGCTTCAGCTGTACCGCACAGGAGCTTGAGCATCAGATGGCGGAATGCATTTCAAGTTCATTTTTGTCAGTAACAGGGTAGCGGCCTCTCTAGGGCTCCAACAAGCAAAGGGCCAAAGAAAATACACTGTACGTGTTGATGTTAAATGATCAGCTGAAATATATACACATTGTGAAACAGCTGTTACTTGTGATTGGTTGTTGTTATTATTCTTATTATTATTAACATTTTTTATTTAGTCATTTTATTAAGTGAAATTATCTCACTATTTTGGCAGATAATTTCACTTAATCAAATAATGAAAAAATAAATAGAATTGTCTACGAACGTTATGGGGAGATATAATAGAAAAACAAGTTATCCTTGCTTTTTTAAATAAAACTTTGCTCTAGTATGGTAACATAATTAGAAGTTTAAAATGTACCATTTACTCCTCAGTCCATACAGTCCATATTTGGAAACTAAGCTGTAAAAACAGAGAAACAAAATGCAGTAAAAATAGAATATAGGCATAACGGGAGCCCAGAGCCTAAACTAATTTAAAAATGTTAATCCAGGGGGCCCTATTTCTGTCTTTTGCCTGAGACCCATCATAACTAAACCTACCCCGGTCCCTGATACCATTTTTAAGGAGCTGATATTTCCAGATGATGTAATTTTATATGTTTAAAAAAGAAACAACCTTCAATAATTTTAAAGACGTCAGTAACTTTATGTGCTTTACTGACTGATATGATGATATTATATATATATATATATGATGCCAAACAATATATCGATCAGGCCTTACTTTCTGGTGTCTGAGATAGATTCCAATGAGCTGTTGCTATGTAACTGTGGACTGTGACAGTTAAATTGCTGGGAAAGTAGGTTTGCCATTATAGAACAGTGTCTGTCTTTTTTCAGCCTTTATTTTTTTGTAATGGTGTTCTCTCTCTTAATGCAGCCAGAATTTGAAGTGCCTCAGACCCCATAGGAGCAAGAAGGGGAAATCTAAGATGGCTGGCAGATTGTGACCCAATTTCTCTTCTTATCTCGCATGTAAAATCTGCTCTTCTCCTGATCCGCTTGTTTCTTCTGGTCGCCCCCCGTTCTTGTTTATGAGCTCTGCCTCCTTCCCCTTGTTTCTGAGAGCTAGTGTGTCAGAAAACGTGCTCGTGTTGGGGTGTATGTGTGCCTGTGTGTGTGTGTGTGTGTGTGTGTGTGTGTGTGTGCAGACATGCATGTGACGTTGGTCACGGTGAAGGCACAGCTCAGTTTGGCTAATGAACATCTGCGGAGGTCCTGATCTGCGGAGGCTCGTCTAATTCACAGCAATATCTCAGGCCGGCCCCCTCAGTGCTCTTCTCAGAGCTCTTAATTATCAGGGAAGAAGGCTTTTATGTCACAAAAGACTCTCCTTTTGAAGTCTTAGGAATCAGGCTCCGATACTCACGGAGGCATCGCAGCAATTTTAGAAAGCTGAATACATTCAGCCTGAATATGCCATCCTGTGCTGCACTGCAGCTTTGGTGATGGATTTGAATCCATAATTTAATCACTGTGAAGTGTTAGTCGTGCACCATTCAGCATGCTATTGTGGGCTATATTGTTAACCCATTACAATTAGAGGTAATTTATAGCAGTTAATAAAGGCTGAAAATGCAAACCTCAAACGCCAATAAAAACAGAAAGCAGTGATTAGTAAATTCTGTTTGAACTGTATTAAATTGAAAAACACAATATTTGATATTTTACTTTCTGAGCTTGTTCCAAATTCGATGCGTTGAGCCCATTCCAAAAAAGTTGACGCAAAGGACAGGCGCACGTTTACCACAACATCCCATTTCATTTCAGTCCATTTCAGATGAATCCGTGGCATTTCTGCTGTGCAAAGTACTTGTGGATTTGTGGATGCAACGAGAAACTGTTTTTTGTGAATGGTTTGTCAGAGTCCTTGCTACTACATGTAAAGGTTGACTGATTTCAATCACAGAAGAATGCCGTTTTTTTTTATTTATTTATTTATTTTAATTTTTACCCGATTTTTACTCCAATTCCACCCGCTAGTTAGGACTCCCCCAATCACACGATGCTATCAACGCTAGGAGGGTGAAGGCTTCCTCCGAGATGTGAAGCCAACCACCGCTTCTTTTCGAGCTGCCGCTCACGCAACGTCATTGGACAGCCGAACGCGCTCGGAGGAAAGCGCCAACCGCCAGATCTGTTACGTCAGCTAACAGACGCCTGCGCTGACTAGCATCGCGCTGAGTGATGGGGGGAGAAGGAGGGGCCATCCTACCCACCCAGAGAGAGCGAGGCCAATTGTGCTCTCTCGGACTCCCGGCTACGGGTGGCTGTAGCATCACCAGGGATCGAACTCGCGATCTCCTGATGATAGGGCCAACGCTTAGACGGTTGCGCAGAATGCCGTTTTTAATGTAGTGCCGTCTAAGGGATCAAAGGTCACGGATATTCGGTTGTGATTTTTGTCCTTGCCCTTTAAGCGCAGAGATTTCTCTGGGTGCTCCGAATCTTTTGATGATATTATGCAATGTAGAGGTTAAAATGCCTAAAATCCTTGCAGTCACTCGTTGTTTTATACTGTTAGATTATTCACTGACAGATTTTTGGCAAAGTGGCAAACCTTGACCCATCCTTGCTCATAAAGGACTAGGCCTTTCCTGGATTATCCTTTTATACTGTATGTGTGTTTAAGGTGTTTATAAAACTTGCCCTTACCCACTTTGACTCATCACTCGGATCTATGTTACACAAGTGGCCGCTCGCGGCAGGAGGCGTGGAGGCAAGTGAAGAGCGGATTATACCAACAGAATGCGCTCACCCTCGGCAGGTTAACCTCAGTGAGCTAATCGACTACCCATACAAACTTTGCAATGCAGAATGTTTTTATGAAAGTGTGAGCATAATGTACGTAACGTGTTTTGTCTGGCTATAAACGTGGAGTAGAGCCTTTTATTTATTATTTATTACTATAGCTTATGAACAGCTTTGTCCGCCATTATTTTCAGGTTTGAAAAGGGAAATGCGTCAGGTCACATTTCTGGGTAAGTTCTGCTGCTGAATCAACGCTGGTGTTCACTCGATTTATCGTCCCTCCAAGGGCTCATTTAACACCCTTCACTTGAGCTGATAAATTAATGGGACAGCCCTTAAGATGGCACTGAGGATGCCCTCAAGGGAAATGATGAGTCCAACTGGACGAGGCCTTGTTAAAATTGGTACTGAAATGGGGGAATAGTATTAAATTGCCCCATCCAGTTTTTTTTTGGAATGTGCTGCAGGTATGAATTTTGGAAAAGGCATATATTTATAAAAAAACAAAGACGTTGATGAGGTAAAACATTAAATATCTCCATTTTGGTTTAAGTACAGGTTAAATGTGGATTTACAGGTTTGTATGTTTAGTCTGATTTTTTCATCATTCAACATGAAATACTACCTAGAAATTAGTGATTTTTTGTGACATTCACAATGTTTGAATTCAGTGGTTTCCATATTTTCTGTTTTATTGTCATATTCTGAACGAATTATATACCCAGGCCAATTATTATATGTATACTTTGCATTTTTGTGCAATGTGTTTTTCATTTATGGTTCTCTTTTCACCTTGGTCTCATTGAAATTAATATATTCCTTCCTTATGTGATACACATCAGACATATTCATATGGGTCTGCAGTGCAGCAGGTCACACTATTAACACAATACAAAATATCTTTTGCAATTTGCTTAAATATATGATTTTAACATATGTATTAATGTAGCTCACTGGTGGGATTTAAGGACAATTTGAAAAAAAAAAATTTGAGCAATATGCAAAATCCTTTCGCATCGCCACTAAGCCTATTACTGGCAATTAAACAACAAAAAGATTGCAGGGGCGTGCGTTATTGACAGAAATCCACTCAAATGGTGTTGCTCCTCACTGAAATGGAATTCCAATTAGGACTGGAATTCTGTGGCTTTGTTCAGGTGCTCTCCGGTCTCCAGTCAGACGGGGGATAATCTTCTGTTTCATTTAGAAATGAGGTGCTGGGCTGCATTACCTGCCCGCTGGTGTGGCAGGGCGATAATAGTTGAATCACGCCCCAGGGCGTTCTCTGGCTGGCTGGGAAAGCTCACTCAGAAAACCAGATAATCAACTTTTCCCTGCTTCCTATAAATGTCATCTGTCATCTGCCCACTGACACCTTTTGCTAAGGCTTATCGAAAGGGTGAAGTCTGAGCCTGCTTCAAAGGAGGAGAGCTAATCTTGATGTTTCTTCAGTGTTTTAATTTGTATGTGCCATTCTCTTTCCCTGTCTGCAGACGAGAAGTCTGATAGCGGCGAGCTTGATCTGGAAGGCATTGATGAGGACGAGATCGAAAAGGTCTGCCGTTCATGTTCTTAATGTGCGATTTCATATTTTCTCTTGCCACTTGTATCTGTAAGCTCTTACAGCTCGTTAGGCAGTAATGTGAAGTTCAAAAAAGCCATGGCCTGAATCTTCCATCCCTTATTAGCTCACATTAGAATACAATTTGAGATATTACATTCTAGCTGTGTAGCATTAGCCCCTTATCAACACTGCTCTCCTCTCTGCAGTACATTCTAAATGAGAAGGAGGTGCAAGCTAAGACAGAGCTGTGGATGAAGCAGAATGAGGAGTATCTGAGGGAGCAGAAAGGTAAGAGAACAGACAGAGCAGCTTAACATATTCATTAACTCACGGCTTCGCTCTCGCAGCACTGATGGCTCTCGTTCCAGCTGGTGAGCGGCCCAGGAGGAAAAAGGCTCAAATTAAAAAAGGCTAAGAAGAAAGGTTTTGTTGTTTTTAAAAACTCATTTGATAAGGTGGGCTGCTTCCTGAGCTTCCATCTTTAGATCTGATGGCAAATGTCAAGATGTTTAGCTTTTTTAATTATTGTAATGTGAAAGAATTTATGACAAAGTTCATATATGTTCAATATCTGACTAACCAATGGAAATGCTGCAGGAAGCTATTTATGCCTTTGTCCTTTGTCTGGTTGTAATCTGATATCTGATGTGCAGTCATAAAAAATAAAGTAACCAGAGACAGTACCTTTTAAGGAGGTTAAATGTTTTTAATGTTAGGAAGGAAGATTTAGCTAATAATCGTATGCAGCAGGATTATTACTGAGTAGCAGTCCATGGAGTCTATAAGAAGGTAAAAAAATGGTGATTCCTGTCACCTAGTGGCATAACAAATCTGTTCTCTCGAGGCCACTCCATCCACTACCATGTAACGTAAACTAAATGTTTGTTAGACTACTAATTTAAGATTTAAAAATGATAAATAATGAACATATCATGTTGTAGATGGTGAATGGCTACCATGAATGAACAAATAAGAGGGAGATAAACAGGCATCGGGGCTATCTGTTGGTGGATGTTGGTGGAAGCTTGTTGGAGGAGGAATGTTGCTAAGCAGATGGATCTTTCTATGAGTCATGGGTGTACAGTTGCATCAGTGTCTATATGTAGGGCCCAATAAAGATTTTAGGGGCCTGGTCGCCGTAGCATTTTGCAGACACTCTTATCCAGAGTGACTTACAGTTTAATCAAGCAAACATAGAGGTCCGAGTCTTGCAAAAGGAGTGAGGTGATATAGTGAGGTGTTCTTTCCCAGGCAGGGAATCATACAGAGGACAGAGTTACCCACTATGCTATACTGACCACAGTGAACACTTGGTAATCTTGCGCCATATCTTTTATACTGTCTATTTCATTGTTTTACGATTGAGTTGATGGGGTTGTTCCTGTATTGAATGTTTGATGTGTCATTGTTGTTGAGCCAAGCTAACAACCAAATTGGCTGCGTGGACAGTAAAAAAAAACTGAAATGAACTGAAGTTGTTTGCTTAAGATAAACTAGCAGGCTACTTAAATGGGAATTTCATTGATTTTTCAAAACTGAACAAAATCATTCAGTGGTTTGATGTGAAATGCTCCATTTCAGAGAAACTTGCTGAGTCAGAGTTGTTCACAGTGGTAGTGATAGGAACCAGATGTCTGATCAGTTTAATGCCTTTTAATGCCTCTTAAAACTTCACAGAACTTTACATGAAATACATGAATGCGATGCCTGAGACATTGTTGTATAATAAATTTGCGGTTATGTTTTTATTTAAAATGTACTTTTTAAAATCCATTTATGGTGGGGAGGCACATGCAGAGTGCTGTAAGGCAAAGTAGTACCAAGAGTGAATAAAGTGGTTGTTAGCATTGTTGACATTGTGAAATCTGAGTTGGTATGTTTCTGTACAATGAACTGTTTCACTTCAAACCACTCTAAATGACTTTGTTTGAACACAGATTTTGTTTTTTAATTGTTGTAAGTCCCCTTTAAATTCTGGAAAAAGGTTTATTTTCTTGCTTTATTAATTTTGTCCTGGCTACATCTTTAACTTGAAATTCCTCTAAACTTTATTTCTTCCTGTCTTTCCAGAAAAAGAGGAGAGAATAGCTAAAGAGAAGGAGCAAGGAATTTATAAAGAGAAAGTAAGTGTGGGTGTATGTATCTGTGACACCGGTGAGCAGAGGTGGTGGCCTTTGCTCCTCTCTTACACTGGGTTCCTCAGACACACAGCAGCTGCTGGTCAGAGGGGGCTGAATACTTTCCATTTTAACCAGACCACTCCTCTGGTTTCACCCCAGACTCACAGTGTTGCCTGTGTTTAACCTGTCTGCTCTGACATCTGCACCGCTACTCTCAGCCAGGTCGGATTAGCCAGACCCGCCGCCAGACCTCTAATGAGGTGCAGAGAACCTGATCCTGATAGCAGATACAGTAGCCTATGTGGAGAGCAGTGCTGCTGTGCAGGGATTTGTTCCACTCTGGCACATAACAAACATGGCCTTTAAAGATCACTCATGATCATATGGGCTGAATCGCTTTTACAGGCTACTAATGGGATTCTGTCATCTTACCGATGACAGCTGTTAGACTTACATAATTTTGTGGAAGCCCAGAAGGGAAAATGTACACGCTTTACAGTATACATAAAAGAATCAGTGTAATCAAAGTATTAAACAATGCCCTGATGATGTCATGAAACACAAAAGGTTAAAGGGCTCATATCACATTTATGAAGTTGTTTTTTTTTTTAATGAAAGAGTTTGATGTGGTATGTAAAAATTATGAACAATTCCCAGTCCCTACAGTCCCAATATAGAAACTAAACTGCCAAAAACAGACCATTTTGAATTCGGTGTCTTTGCAGTGTCACAATAACCGAAGCGTTTATCTCCACCTGTTTGGCCTACAGCAATTTAGCCCCACCCATTCACACTGATGTTGTAAAGAGTGTTTCAGCATAGACTGCTTAATAGAAATAAAGGGCAGCCAATCAGAACAGAGGTCATTTACATGTTTCAGTGTTAAAGAAACAGTAACAGGAACATCCTGTTATTTCTCTGGAATGACAGAAGGTTAGAAAATGATCATGAAGAAACTAATTATAGCTTTTTTTGGTACATAAACCCACTCAGATATCCCAAAGTGAACATGTGGGAAGTTATGTTTAGTCTGAGGTGAGATAAATGAAACATATATACACCAGCATTCAAAAGTTTGGAATCAATTTTTTAATAATATAAAATCAGTATTGTGGCAGGTAAATGTATAATACACTAGTCCTGTGCAATTTTACAAGTTTATGTAATCACAAATCATTAATATAATGCTGTAAAATACATAATTAATTAATAAATTTAACAAGTGATTCTAAAATGACTGTGGGTTTAAAAAAAATGAACAATACTGTACACAATAGGTTATATTTCAAAAGTGACGGTCACATCTCATGACTCCTATAAATAGATTACTGTAAATTATTTATTCATAAATATTGTCTTGTTCATGCCAAAATATTGACTGAAACTATCTTGTGTTGTCCACCTTATAGTATTTAAATTTGCATTGTTTAAGTTGGTGTTGCATATAAATAATAACAAAATTGATTAAAAAATTTTAAAGTAATTCCAGATGTTTTAACACTTTTTTATAACCTAAGTGATATGACAGTTTCAGTATTGTCTGCAGTGTAGAGACACTACCCAAGTGCTGGCTCTGTAGGCCTTTGCCAGTACAGATTCTTATCCCCTCAGCTTGTCTAATCCTTTATCTTTATGGCTCTACAGCCCAAGAAGCCGTCCAAGAGGCGAGAGCCCATTCGAGCCAGCACTGCTGGAGAGGCTATAGAAAAGATGCTGGAGCAGAAGAAGATTTCAAGTAAAATCAATTATGATGTGCTGCGAGATCTCAACAGCAAAGGCAGCAGCCCGGCTCATCAAGCGGAGGATGTTCCCTGTAGCGGCACCGGGCGAAAGAAGCTCACCCGTCGCAAGAAGCAACCCAACAAAAGCAATCTCGGCCTGGCCAAGCCTGCTAGTCTCATGGGGAAAAGGTGAGAATTAACAAAGAGTGTTTCTTTTCAATAAGGTGAACCGCTTAGTCGCTGCTGTTTTACAGAACAAGGGGTTCATTTCTACTAAAGGCTCTTGTGAGCACTGGAGGTTTTCCCCCCTTTTATACACTTGTGCTCAAAATCTACAGAAACAGCCTTTCTATAGTAGCAGGGCTTTGTCCCAAGTGGTATAATACTTCTTTTGTGCCTACTGACAAAAGACAAGATCAAAAGGTTGTCCACTGCCCTCGAAGGACTTCTTTTTCCTTGTCCAGCTATAAGATTTTGTCTTTCCTCTGTTTCTTTGGCTGACCTTCAAAGTCATTTCCACCAGGAAAAAGCTTGTCATCAATTCTGTGCCAGGATTTTCTGTTCCCTGTCACCTGGCACCCTGCGGTCCTTTCTCAGAGCATACCCCTTCTTCAATTAATAGTCCTACAGGACTCAAAATGCCCCTGTGAGGGAAGTAATGAATCGGCACCAGACGGAGCGTAAGATCATGACTTCTTCACTGGCTCAATGAGAGATGGCTTCTCATTGTGTGATTTCTTCTGTTCCGTTCCTTTCGTTAATAATAATTACTAATTTCATATTGCATGTCAAAATGATTATGAATCAGGCATGTGAGCTCCAGTGGAGGCACCATGTTCTGAAGCTTAGGCAATTAACCATTCCTTTTTTTCTCTACGTTCTCATACTCACACAGAGGGATGGGCATCAAAATGCAATACTTTTGTGCTACCGACCGAATTACTTAAACCAAATATAGAAAAATTTCACATCATTCAGTACAATTTTTAAAACCTAAGTAGTCAATCTTAGCGTCCATGAGCCAATAACAATGATTGTTCCAAAATCTAGACTGCTGATTGACTATCCTAATTACATTCCACATGCATGTTATCAGCATTCCACATGTATGTTATCAGCATTTCTTGATCAATCTGCAGTCTGTTGCGGTCAGTAAATATAACCAATTCCTACAACATCAGGGTCATTTCTGATTTAAGAACCACTCACTATCTGTTTATAATTTGGAAGAAGAGGTTAAAAAAAGAATGGTTCAGGAATTGATGTTGAATTTAATTTAATTTAATAATTTCAACAATACTCAGTAGGGATGCACAATAATATCAGTATCATATCAATATCAGCAAATAACTGCTTAACAGCATTTTAGCGGCATCAGGCAGATGACTAGATTTGACCAATTCTTCACATCGATATTTGGTGCTTTATTGTATATTTTGGTATTTATTGTGCTCTAGAACAGCAGAGCAGCATTTGGGCAGCGCTGAACTGTAACCTATAGTGATATGACAGTTTCAGTACTGCTGTGCCAGTTTTATTAATTTTACTGCATCTGTAACACTCTACAAATAAATGTTTTATTTTTGTGTGATGCAAATCCAGATTAAATTAATTTTCATTTCTACAATTTATAAATATTTATGTCTCACCATTACCAGATGTATACATAAAATCGGCATCAGACCACAATTTTTATACGGGTGCAACCTTAATACCAAGTTTATTTATTTGTGTTTGCTTTTTATCTCTGACTATTGCAAGGTTTTAGCTCTCTAGCACTGAAGGATATTAAATCATCATGGTGGGTGGCACTCTGGAACAAATTTGACAATAAAGTCAAGCTTAGTTACGGCTCAGATTGAGCGAAAACGTTTCCTCTGCTTCCTGCTGGACCATGGCAAAACTTCTGGTGAGCTGTCATGGGAAGGAAGGTTGGCCTTGGCGCCTTAGTTTCTATTGCTGATCAGACTTTTGGAAGCTTTTTGAATTCTGTATGTGTCTCTTTTTGTGAGGAACCGTTTGTTCTTTTGCAGAAATGAAGTGACCTGTATTATGAAAGCATTCAAAAGCTTTTAATGCTTTTATCATCTCACCCTCACTTTGAAATGCTTGAAGTAGCACATCTTTCTTCACGTGCACGTTAACTCTCCATTAGCTTCTGTGCTAACGCTCTGCAGGTGTATTCATCTACCTGCTGTAAAGACCCAAGTGTTTTTTTCTGTGTATCTCCCTTCTACAGAGTTTTTCATACTGACCTAAGACATTAGTAACACGGTGACCCCAAAGCCCCTCTGGTAGTGTTTCCAGGCAAGCAGACACAGTGCCTCAACTCCTCCACCCTTCACCCACACACAAAAAACACTGCCAGCCTCCTACTCCAGCTGCCAAACCAAGCCCCCTGCATGACCTCCATACTAACAGAGAAGGAAAAGCATTCTTCCAGAAAGAGTAGGGGATAATTACCGTGCAGTTTCTTTTACTTTGCTCTCTTTTTCCTGTCTTCCTCCCCCTCCTTATCTGTACTTCCTCACTTATGTTCCTAAAGGTTTGCAGTCTTTAGTACTCACAGAGTTTGGCTTTTGAAGTGCAAATCTGAACTTGGTGCGGCAGGACGGCCTGTCTGTGGATCTCTTACCGCATACCTCAGAGAGTGACAGCCCTGCCAGACGCGTCTCCTCCTGGCATGCTACGTGATTTTGTCTGATCCTCATTTTACATTGCCTCCACATACTTGGAAATCACAGCAATAATTTGGGGTTGTAACGTTCAGGACAGAACTGAGGAGTTCATGAGTACGTAACACTTATCGTGACCAGTGACAACATGGCCTGAGAGTGATTTGTAAATATTAGCTCTAGGTTGACGACCAAAGGTGAGCGTTAATGTGTGTGCTTGCTGCGCGCAAGAATGGAAGCCCATCACATTCATTTTACCAGACATAGCCACAAATAACCTATGTGGAGAGTGATGTGTTTCACAGAATGCTGCTGAGGGTTCCTGCTCCCAGTGGAAATGCTCAGTTTCCCACAGTTAATGTCATTGTTTCCACCTACCATTCCACTATGGTAGTCCACTCGGCTATAGCTGCTCATCCAATATAGCTCATCTAGCTTTATGGGTTTGGCTAGTCGTCCATCATAATGGCAGAGCTTTCAGAGAATGAGGGCCCAGCCCTAGCAACTGGTTTTCTAGTTTGAAGGAAACCAAAGCAACCAGTAGTTAAGCATGCCACATGGTTTATGTCAATTGAGTTCCATGTCCCAGCAGCGCCTCCCGTAGTAACCAGACCAGTATGTGATGGTTGGTTTCACCACAGCCTGGTCATGTTGAGAGACAGTCCCTAATGAACAGTATGACAGTTTACGTCTCCAAAAGTTTGGACTTCCTTTAAAAAAGCATTACCATGCTTGCAGGCATGAAAGGGATGATATTCAGAAAAGACCTCTTAGAATTGGCTGGTAAAAGTCCAGATTTGCATGAACTACCAAGAAGAAAAAAGACACACAGACCACTAAGGGTTTATTGGAATTTTACCATGCATAGTTCATCCCACAGTTTAACTATCTAAACTGGTTCTTTTAACCATTAAGCTCATAATGCTAACATGTCATAACCATTAGCTAGGGCTTATTCCTAGGGTCATCTTCTGCCTAACCTCTGGCCCAAGCTCAGCTGAAGGGCTTTAGATCAGGTTTCACAACATGGAGGTTTCCATTGTTTAAGGATGTGATTTATCAGTGGGCTGTGGTCTGCTAGTCTGGAGGATGCATTTTGGTAGGAGCCACTTCCTGCTGATGAGAACCACATCCTTTGAAGAAGCATAACAGCTGGATGCTGCTGTTAGCCAGTAGATCTCTCAGGGGAACCTAAGACTGAATTGTAGAGTAAGTGTTGTGTTTCCTAGGGTTACCAGTGACCTCCTTGCTGGCAGGTTCATCAAATAACAACTACTAGTGGAATGTGAGGTCCTTCACCACCTGCTACATTACTATTCTTATATAAATAAAGCCAGTGGCTTGAAAACGTAATTGTTACTTAATAACAACATATTGTCATTGCAAGAATTTTGTATTTAGTACAATGAATGGTGTGAAAGACATGCACTCAAAAAAGATGACATTGAAAATTATGCATGCTGGCATGTTGGGACCAGTTAACACGATTTATCTGTACAGTGCAAACCAATATTCACAAACTTTAGTATTTTTCAGTGAATTACTCCTGTAACATGTACTAAACTGAAAATACAACCTCTGATGGAATGTGATGAAAAGGCTTGGTTCAAAGGTAAGGCCTGTTCTGTACAATTACCACCAGGGCCTTGTTGAAAACCTTGTGCACTTTCTCACCTTCCTTTTCCATCTGCTGTTTAGATGCTAAGGCTAGTTGACTCACATTGCACATCTCAAGCTGTCTCAGTAGGAGCCCTCTCCCACACTCTTGTTCACTAAGCCGGACTAGGCCTGCTTTGTTAATAGAGGCTTATGTCTCCTGGTGATGTTGATCAGGTGTAGACACGCTGACGTGAGCGTGAGCGGAGGTGGCAAGTACGATCCTATCTGCTTTCCTACTTTTTGGCTTGCAAACCCACAGTTGTTCTGACCAGATGCGACAAAGGGCATCACAGTGACATTTGGAGCTGTTACCAAGCTGTGCCAGTCATGAGGAGAAAATTGGTACTTCCTTTTGCAGCCGCCCTGCAGCATGTCAGATTCGTGGTGCGCGATCAGTTCAGGGCGTTCTCACTCCCACACACTGTTTTGTTCACTCAGAGGCAGGATGTTTTTTAGCAGCCTCCACAGTAAATGCTTATGAATATGTGAGTGATTGAGTTCTTTTAAGAGTATAATGTGAGGTTTGTGTGTATATTTGTGTCTTGCTCTAAGCCATTGTTGCACCATTGTTCCATGCAAGGGCCACTCGTCTTTCTTTGTGTCTGTGTCAGTGTAACAAGGCTGGCATCGTAGGCCTGCAGGCTAGCCCATTTCAAGCAGAAGGAATTCTGGGATGAAATCGAGTGTGCAGAGCTATGAGGCCAGCGCAGTCACAACAGTGGAGGGCAAGCCCCCTCCTTCCTCCCTGCTCAACTGCTAGAGGGGACGATAGCAAGAGGATAATCACTTCTTTCTTCTCTGCCCTGGATCCCTCCTGCTAAGCGTTCTCCTCAAGCCCACACCCTGGGGGGCTTC